TTTGAGGTACACACGGTTTGATCACTACTATAAGTTTCACGCCTTTAAGCAATCATCAGGCAGTTGGCAGCTGCTAATGTGAAAATACGAGTTTTTATACCCTCAGGAAAGACTAAGATGGGAAAAAATATATGGATGGTGTTTGTGCACCATGCATACGCCAACCAATCTTACATGGAGAGGGGAAAGACCCCCCCCCCATCAGGCCAAGATCAAAATAAAACCGTAAGAAAAGCTCTACCATATTGTATGGTGTTAAGCATTTTTCTTTCTGGTGTGTATACATGACAGACACTTTAAGAGCTGCTTTTTTTTTTTATATATATATATATATACACACACACAACTTGAAAGTGGCTGTTTAACCAACATAAGGTCCAACCAAAATTAAGGATAAAAAAAATGAAAACTACAGATACGTTCACTGCTACTAACAAGCAAGGATTTCTTTTTCCTTCTGATGATGACCTTGCTGGCCGAAACAAGTTGAGGAACCTAATTGAAATAAAACAAAAAAATATTAATATACAGCCCAGTGTGCCTGAAAATTTTATTTTTTTGTTCAGAACACAAACACGTACATATATATGCACACATATAAGTCTCTACTTGTAACACCTAGCCAAACTCTGTAATTTTATTTATTATTTAGTTTTTGTTTTTTTTTTTTTTACCTTCAATAGGAGTAGTTAGGTTTGCCTATCGTCCAGTTCATACTCTTCCCTGGTTTTTTGAACAGGAAGTTTATCTCTTGATTTCTGTTTAGGATTGGGTTTCTGGTTCCCTATAAAGTCTTCTAATACTCTTTCCCTCCCAGTAACACACTTGAATCTTAGTGACTTTATCACCTTGCTTGGGGTGAATTGATTAGAAAAAAAGGAAAAAACAATATAATTTCATGCTGACTTAGAGATGAAATAATTTTTTAATAACTTTGGAGAAAGGTTTAGAATGGCAGACTTGCAGAGAAAGGATGGTTGGAAAGTGATCGTAAAAAGATTATTTTAAGTAATTGTTTGTTTTTTTGTCTTTTTCAGGTTTATAAACATTTGAAATATAATCCCATTCTCTTATGCAAATATCTAACCTTCTTCAATGGTCTCCTGTCAACATCTCAACCAATCAAGTGGACCTAAATTTAAAAAATATACAAAAGTGGAGACTATTCATATTCATTTATAGCTGACCAATCACAGCGTCTTAAATATTCAAATTCTTCCCATGAAACTTGACAGTTATCGTGAGCAGAGTAAAAGATCGTTCTTCTGGGCAGTTATATTTTCACGCAATCTTTTTTTTATTAATTCAATTGTTTTTTTATATTGTCACAACAGCCAAATTATTTTAAACTTATATTAGGCGTTTTGACATTTAATATTAAGATCTAGTTAAAATGAATTGTAAATCGTTATTGGTTTAAGTAAATAAATATTTCTTTTTCATCTGTATCTTCTTATAATCAAATCATTATCATATGAATTTTTTTTTTTACAATATTGCAAATATCATCTGTATATCAATGGTGTATAAGGACAGGTCGCCTAAGTTGAGTAAACAAATTATCTATTGAGCTATGTATTTTTTGATTTGTAAAATAAAACTTATAATCAAAAAACAGTTCATTGTATTTTTTCTTTGATCCCAGTCTTTGTGAAATTGAAATCTACAAAGATGCCTTCCAGAAACTAAGCAAAATATTAAGACATAGGAAAAATATAAATCATCATCAGAAACAAAAGAGTGCTGAACTGCTATGTAATATGAATTGTTCTTTCTGGCAGCAAATGCTGGAGAATTTTCTCACAGATTGAAGGAACTGAGCTGTCTTTCTATGGAATACCATAGACAGAGCATGTAAGTAATGAGGAAGTTTTAAAAAGAAGAAGAATGACAAGAAAGCTGATAATTAAATATCAGAAAACAACATTTGAAACTTTTTGGAAGACATAATCTGGTAAGAGGGGTTAGAGAATCTGACAATCACAGGACTTATTGAAGACAAGAGAAGCAGGCTAACAGCAAATACTTAAGTTTGTGCAAATAGATAACAGAACAAAGATGAAATGTATATAAAATACTAAAAGTCTGCGATTGCATATATGTGTCTGGTGCATAATGATTTAAGTTAATCTGATTTTTAAAATATTTTAAGTAAATAAGATTTAAAAATACAAGTTGTTTATAGAGTAAGTATTTTTATTTTAACTTTCTTCAGACAATTTTTTAATTAAAATATTTTAAAGTTAAAAGACAGATGTAAAGAGATTCCGCTTTGCTGTTTCGTCCAGTTGTTTCTAGAGTAATTATTTATATTTCAGCTTTCTTTAAACAAAAAATTATTTTTAATATTTAAAAAATATTTTTTGGCATATTTAAAAAATATTTTCACATGAATATGATTTAAAAATATTTTTGGTATATTAAAAATATTTTAAGTGAATAAGATTTAAAAATACAAGTTGTTTATACAGTAATATAACAATTCCTTTTGTATTTTGTGCAAGTGTTCACATACGCCATAAATAAATGCTCTTACTGAAGTTCAAGTTTATTCCAGAAGTTCTTTTTGTTTAAAATGCTGTAAACAATCAGTAAAACATTGAATAATGAACTTTAAACCAGACCAATGATGACATAAATGAATTGAAATATTTAACAGAATTATAATAAAATTAATTTAAATGGAGTACTGAAATCAACTTCAATGTTTTATAATCTGAACTGTCAGTGACTCAATGGGTCACAGGTAGGTGTCACACATGGCACACCAAGCGATTTCCAATGGCATGCAGCCGCAAATAACATCAAGAAGTCCGAACCAATAACTACTACAATGCGAAGAAGATATTTAGTTGTTTCAATTTTAATATATACTAAAGTATATATCCTATATATTACTATATAAAATACATTGTAGAACAGGTATATTGACCTTGACTTGTATAAAAACATGTATGCTGTTGGTACGTTGAATGATTTTGAAACCATAAGTTGGCACATAGTTAGCAAAAGGTTGCCAACACCTGGTCTAGTATAATCATTTCAGCCCAAGTGATGTAATAAAGCCACTAAGATACAAGGGTTTACTGAGTGTGAGAGAATATAAGGAAAAGAAAATGTTATTAAGCCAAAAAGTCAAATGATGACAACAACTAGGCTGAACCGTCAGCTTGATAATACAAGCCTTGAGATTGGCTGGTTTTCAGACCAGTCAGCTAATCAGATTGCTTCTTGCACATCTGGTCCTTTCAATGGCGGTTTCTATGATATTTTGCTGTGTTCTGCGAATTTATATTCATTTTCTTTTTGTGTTCCAAATGAGGGCTTAGAAAAGGGGCTCAGTCTTCTTGACACTGAAACTTCAAATGAGGCTCAGACTACAAAGGGTTAAGGAGAGAGAACAATAAAAGAACAGGAATTAAGAAGGCAGAAGATGCCTATTGACATTGCATTTAAATTTTTGAAGATCAAAGGTAATTGGAAAGCAAAAAGCTGGAAGAGTGTTCTACAAGTGAGAAGTGCAAGAGAAGAAACTGCTAGCATCTTGCCATTTCAAAAGTAAAATGATGAGACCTTGGAAGTACCAAAAAAGAAAGCTCATCAGAACAATTACCATGAAAATATTGATAGAAAAAGCACAGGAAAGCTATGTTACAATAATGGGAAGGTGACTGAAAACGAAATGCCAGGTCAGGACTTATGACATTGCAGATTCTTCTTTGGATTTTATGAAGAATCTCTTAATAGAAGTACCAAAACAGATGTGACAGCAATATTTAATGCATGGGTGAATGGTAGACTTCGAAGTGTGTACGATAAATGCTGGTGAGAAAAATTGCCTAGCATGACACAGTGAACCAACTTTTCTAGCAGTGGATTCAATATGTTCCCACTTTATATCAGTTGAAAAGGTTACTCTGAGATGTCACAAGAAGTTAATTTTTTGGAGGTTAACATGGACCATGTTGACTGAAGATTAAAAAGGTTCTCTCAGATGATTAAAAGAGTAGTTTTGCTTAGTATATATATATATATATATATATATATATATATATATATATATATATATATTCAAATATGAAAGAATATAAATTCAAACGTTCATAACATTAATTTAAAAAAGGCTCAATATAAGAGTAGAGCAAGTAACTTGCATGATCCAATGTAACAGTTTATAATATATATATATATATATATATATAATAAAATAAATATTTTTTTTCTCTTACTGGTAGCACAACTCATGCACAATGCAATCTTCAGGTGCTGATTGAAAACTAAATGATGTACAATTAAATTTTTGATATATATATATACACATACATACACACCAGACTATAGTAATAGTGGAAAGGTCCATATTATTTACAGGATTTGTTTAAAAAAAAAAAAAAAAGTATAAAAAATTTTTTTTTTACAAACCCTGTTAATAATATGGACTGCCCTACTATTACTATAGTCCAATACACACACACATCATATATCATAATTTAAATTGTGTAACAGTTTTAACTCAGCACCTGAGGATTGTATTGTTCTACTGGTGAGGAAAAAAAATGTATATTTATTATTAATATATAATTTAAACCTCTGTTATTCTATATCAAGCACTATTTTATTAACCACAGCACTAAACGTGTAATACACACACACATATATATATATATATATATATATATATATATATATATATATATATATATATATATACACACATACACGTATATGTATATATAATATGTATGTGTATATATTGGAGTTGTGATAATTTAACTCCAGTAATTATTGTGAGAAAGCAAAGTTTGCTTACCTGGTTACTATTGGCTGCTGTCTCCTTCAAAGTCGTCATGTGACACTAAGCACTTTGTGAGCTGATAGTGCCATAGCTGGAAATATTCTTGGAACATATTTCAGTAATACAGTTGAATGTTGCAGGATGGCAGCAAATCTTTGTCCTTTCAGCACAAATTTCATTTTCGGAAACTCTTCTAATACTCAACTTATTTCTTGTATACAGAGTCGACATCTTGCTTTTCATTGCCAAATGAAAGAGACAGGGAGAGAACGAGACAAAGAATAAAAAGGAATATTCTCCTTTATTTATAAAAAAAAAAAAAATCAATAAAATTATGTACATAAAAATCAGTACCGACTGAACATGAATTTACTTGATGAGGTCTGTTTCGATAGAGTCTTGTCGATGGTTATTGACAGAAACTTCTAGAGTGTTCAATAATTCTTTGAAGTCCAATAAAAATCCTTCACTTGTATTTCCTGTAAAAAAAAAAAAAAAAAAAAAAAAAAGAGAGAGGAATATTATACAGAGAAAATAAAGTAGAAAAAATGTTTGTCTATAATACCCATGTGTAATTTTAGGATGCAATTGCATTTCACATTTTAGGATGCTTTCTCTCATATCCAAACGCGTATTGTTGAGAAGTAGTGGCAAGTTATTCTCTGTGTGTGTCTATGATGTGCACTGCTCCATGGCAGCAAGACTTGGGCACTAAGTATGTTGATCTTCAGTGGCTTTGCCACAACAATGACCGCTTGATGATTCAGTGGATCTGTGGCATGAAGCATCAGTATGAAACCCCCCTCACCAGTGTTTGTCAACTAGGCTTAGTATTGAGAATATAACATCAGTGTTGTGCACCTGCTGTCTTAAATGGTTTTGGTCATGTACAACAAACATTGTCATACATCAGGACTATCTTGAAGTTCAAGGTTTCTGGTCACAGAGTTTGAGGTAGACCGAGGAAGATGTAGAAGGACTGGGAGGGCAGCCCTGCCTACATTAGCCCACTTGACAGGGATACATATAATCTAGTCAATTTCATTTAATTTCTTTTTGGTTCAAGTTTCCATCACTTTTGTTATTAAATATCTCACATTTAAGAGAAATAACAGAAAATCTGGCAAGAAAGGTAAAATGTTGTAAGAACCTGGTCATAAATTTACTGTGGATGATCTTGTGATTAAAGCACTTTCTATATATTTTTCTCTCAGTAAACTGCTTTCTCTTTTAATTAGAGTAGCATTTTCTTGAGCTTATCGCCACATTGTGTTGAGATGCTACTTCCTGTATGATTGTCAAAGTTAAGCAACATTGAGCCTAGTCAGTATCTAGATGAGTGACTGCTTGGGAAAACCAGGTGCTGTAAGCTTGGATGTGCAGCTGGTGTAATGGATAATGGCTCAGCATTGTTAACAGGAGATCTGAGTTCCAATTCCCGTATGGTTCATTTATATTCACTTATGCACAAATACTCTTGGGAAAGATATGAATCCATCCTTTTCTCCCTGTCAGATCTGGGTTAATTAGTAAGTCTTGTATCACTAAAGCATTATTATCTAAAAAAAAAAAAACAAAATATTTTCTGGCTTTAAATAACCTACAGTGGGTTGATAAGCTGTAGAAAATGAATCAAACAAAACAAAAAAAATCAAGTATTTCATGATATATAAAAATTTATATAATTTTTATATATTATATATCCAAACATGATAAAGAAAAAAAAAAAAAATTAAATTTAAAAGTTTAAAATTTCACTGTCCCCTCTCCTTTATACACACGTGGAGTTACATCAACAGAAACATCACATTAGTCCAGTGGTTCCTGAATGATTTTGGGCCATGCCCCACTTTTGGATTTCTAAAATTCTGGTGTACAAATGTGCAGATATGAAAACAAATTTCAGGAGGTCTATAATGAGAGAATTTTCAGTTAAAAAGTACAAAACTTTGACTGTTCTTTGTAGTTTGGAACAGGGGTTGGCAACCTTTTCGCTGACTATATGCCAACTTAGGGTTTTAAAATCATTCAGTGTGCCAACAGCAGACATTTTTTTTTTTTATACAAGGGTCATTCCATGTCAATTCATCAGGGCATTATATAAAATAAAACATCCCACCAAATTACTTGAAATTTGTCCCAAATGTTCCCCTTCATGATTTAGGAAAGTGTGTCAAATTATCTTTTGCTAGACTTTACAGTTCCAATTGTAAGGAGGGGGGGGTATAATTTTCCTATTTTGCCTTTAAATTAAGGCTGCGTAACGTTGCCGAATTTCAGTGTTTTTTTAAAAATGAAAGAAAAATACTTCCATACCTTCAATATTTCTGAGATTTGGTATGTAGGGCAAATAAGAAGTGTAGAATCCAAATATTTAACTATTTCAAGCCTACACTTGATAAAAAATTTCCTTTTATGTCACCCAAAATACATGACCCCAAAATCAACAACTTTTCACCTATGTAGCTTACGGTCAGTCTTTTGAAAATACATCCTCTTCAATTTTCATAATATTTTTTGCCTAACATCTACAATGCCTGCTCAAGTTCACCAAAAAATTTTGTGAGGGTTTTAAGCCTACTTTAGAAGATATGACCCTGCCATAATTTAAATATATTTTGCAGATGATATTTTTCGTACAGATAGATTGTCTTTAAAAGTGGTAAACATTGCCTCATGTATGATAATCAACAGTGCATAGAAAATTTGTAAATGGCACTTAACAAATGAAGTTAAAAGAAATTCTTTCTGTTTGTGTTTCTTTTAATTTTATTTTGGTAAATTATTTTTTTAATTAATAAAAACAATCTTATTGAATAGCTTAAGAAGTTACTTAGCACAATATCAACATTTTAGAGGTCATGGAGCATTAGGATGATTGTCTTTAATTATAATCTTTCTCGGAAATCCTGCACATACATAGGAAAAAACTCTAAACTTGGCAGGGCCATATCTTCAGACAAAATCTGGTTGACAGAAAGAAAGCAGCAAAATAAACGATAAAAGCAATGATTTATCCAAATAAATGATGAAGATAAGACGATCGTAACAATAACAAAACAATTTAATTTGTAACTTGAGGGAAATAGATTTAAGAGTGGAGATAGTTTTGAGGTGTGATGGAATAAAATAAAATGCTTTTAAATTCAATGTCCAAGTGAATTAATGTTCACGTAAAGAAGAAAGTTACAGAGAGAGATATCTCAGACAGTTATTTTAATGTCCAAGTGAATTAATGTCCAAGTGAATTAATGTCCAAGTGAATTAATGTCCAAGTGAATTAATGTCCAAGTGAATTAATGTCCAAGTGAATTAATGTCCAAGTGAATTAATGTCCAAGTGAATTAATGTCCAAGTGAATTAATGTTCACATAAGAAAGAAAATTATAGAGAGGGATATCTCAGACATTTCAATGTAGAAGGCAATATTCCACAAAAGAAGATTATATTTTTTTTACTTAGCCTTCTGTCCATTAATTGCAATCCATCTTCTTTGTTTTTGCCGAGTGTTGTCGTCTGACCGTTTATTTTTTTTTTTCTTTCACAGAGCGTTTTTAAGACTCTTTTTCTTGGTTTCCATGGATATTCTCATCACAATATATATATATATATATATATATATAAGATAAGAATAAAAAAAAATATAGGAGTAACTAAAGGACCCTGGAAACAGAAACTGCACACACAAAACATCCAACAGCACAACCCTTCCTAAGCATATATGGGAAATTAAAAACAAAAAACAAATTAGACCAAAAATATCATGGAAAATAAGGAAAACTGCATCAGCCTACAACAATAAATCCCAAAACTGTAAACTCTGGGGGAGAAAATAGCTATAATCACCTTTCTAGACCAACACAAACAGCTACATAAACTTATCTTAAAATTTGCATATAAAAACATATTTTTACTGTGTTAATCAAAAACTAAAATGAATACTTCATAAAATATCATAAAGAAAAATGCAGATATATGTACGATATACAGCACAAATAATATAGCACACTTTAGACAAACTTAATACTTTAAACAAATAATATAACCAGTACCCTTTCAATTAAAATAAATAAAGTAAATTAAGTAAAAAATAAATAAATTAGAGAAATACAAATGTAATAATAAGAATAATTAAGTAATCAATAATAAATAATGATTAATAAGTTGACAAACAACACTATAAAATAGGCACAAATAACTGCATTCAGAGCTATAATTACTTTTACTTTAGAATAATTTTAAATAATACTGTTTCCACTGACCCAATAACCATTAGGACAATAGACTTTGCTACACATAATGCACCATTGACCAACATATATAGATAGTTGAGCCAAAGCACAACACAGTCTGAAGATTGTGTTCAAGCATGAAACAGATTGTCATTGCTTGGTGTTGATCTCAGTGTCTATATATATATATATATGTGTGTGTGTGTGTGTCTGATAAAATAAATTACAAACATTATTTCTGCTTATATTTAGCATAATCTGTTCATAATATATTTAATCAGACATGCCTAAAAGAGAATTTTATTTATATATATATATATATATATATATATATATATATATATATATATATATATATAATTTTTTTTATAAAAAAATTATAACATAAGTATGTTATAAAATCACTACAAAAATAGCCATTTTGTTTCAACACACTCTGTGTCTTATCAAGTGATGATGTTGAAAAGAAAATAAATGGTTTTAAAAGTTTCAGATTAATTAACGATCCTACACTAGGGGGAAACATTGTTACAAAAGCTAGAATAACCAATCAAAAACGAAGTATAGAAAGATTCAAAAGCTTGACAACAAAATCCTGCTATAATAGCTATTCAGATCTTTAAATACGTAATATTAAAAATAATTTATACTAACTAATAATTATAAATTTATATGATAAAATTTAATATTAAAATTAAAAAACTGGCAATTTTAAAAATCCAAATTTAATCACTATTAAGTTTAAAAACTACAAAATTATTGAGAAAAGAAAAAATAATCTGCTCTACTTTGTATTGAGCACTCTTTTAAGAATAGTAATTGTTGGAATTCATTCCGTGTATACCAATTATATACTTTGATATATATATATATAAAAGAAACAACTTCAATTTGGATCTAAAAAATGCCACACTCATCAAAAGAAGAATTTACACGACCACAGATATATTGAAAAATCAAAATAAAACTGTAAAATCCATCACCTCAGGTTTTTGAAGATTTACAGCACATACGTCCTTCTCATAACATAACAATCTAATAACAATTTAAATAATATTTATATATATATATATATATATATATATATATATATAGAGAGAGAGAGAGAGAGAGAAGGAATATGTATACACATACTAGCAAAAACACACTTGCACACACAATACACAAAAATGGAGATAGGTTTAAAAAGATACAGAGGTAATAAAATGATAAGAACAAAGCCCCACTTCCTTCATTTTTTTTTTCCTCTGACCAATCCTGATTATTTTATTACCCCTTAAGCAGAAGAATATTTTTGCCCCTAGCCTAAGAAAATTTGGATTACTACTACACACAAAAGACAATGGTTAAACAATGGAAAACATAAGGAAAAAGTAATTCTTTTAATATGTGGAAATAACCACTCTTCACCTGATGAAGGTCACAAGACCTGAATCCTGTGTAGCAAAAATATGGCAAATAAGGTACAATATATATTTAAAAAATGCACATTATAACCAAAAACGTTTGTGGCTTCTCTCTCCTCTTTAAAATAATATATGCTTTACTCTTGTTGGAACAACTATAACCTATATATATTAGTTTTCAACCAATAGAAAATTTGTCTACATACTCAGATTTTGATTTGATGTTTCAGAGGTCTTCAGGTTTTCAATCTTGTCAGATGAGACGTGGATGTCGTCGAATGTTACCAACATCTGAAATATGAAAGACGAAATGTGCTCAAATGCCGGCTAACTGATTTATTTCCATTTGATGCGCAGAAAAGGACACCGTGACAAGAATGAGAGACATGCATACAAGATCCATATGGTATGCACCCAGCCAAACTGATCAGTTTGGTTTACAGCATATGGACTGGGGAATAACAGCATTTAGGAAGTGGTTCCTCCATTCTCAAAACCTTCTGATCAGAAGCCTTGCTGCTTAATGTAGTTTATCATCATACCTGGGACTATGAGTGTTTTAATGTTGGGAATAGGAGGCACAGTAGAGTAATGGACAGAATCTCGGATGGAGGAATCGGAGAGCCGAGTTCGAATTCCAGTCGAACCCATTTTATTCATTTACATGCTAATACCCTTGGGGAAGGTATGAATCCTCTTCTTCTCCCCTCAGCTATGGGTAAATAGCAGAACAGACTGGGTTCTATAGTCTTAGATGGCTACTGGTCTACCACAGAAAGAAATGGAAATCTACTGCGGGAAAAAATCTGCCTCGTCAGTCATGTATTGAAAGATACATGAGCGCCTAAGAGTGTATCAATGCATGGCACATAACTGAGTAAATGTTGGGAATATACTTTTGTCATTCTGAGTAATATAAGGATTTGGGGCATCCATAATTCAGCTGTCCCATGGTCAGCTGAGCCCCAAGGAGGCTTTCTCTTCCTCTCTTGTTAAGTTCTCTGCTTCATAGTGGAGAGGAATCCAGATGAGACCATGCCGAAGGGTAGAGCCTCATTTGGGGAGGTAGACAAACCTGACCCCATGTATACAGGGTCTACGGGCAATTTCTGTCTGAGCCTACAGGCTTGGATTGCCCCATGTTAAAAACTGGCCTTGTGCCACATCTTGCCTTGTGGGGAAGTTGGTAAATAGAAAGGCTAGAAAGTTTCTCCCTTTCTGAAAAACCTTTTTGGTTAGTGGCATATCAACCTCTATGGGGTATTTAATGCTGAAATCTAAATATTTTGTACACAATTTTGAGGGGTGGATAATAATGATTATAGTGTTACTAATTGACCCATATCTATGGGGAGAAGAGGTGGATTCTTAACTTTCCCAAGGGTATTTGCACACAGACTATAATAAACCCAACTGGAATTAGAACTCGGCTCTCTAATTAACAATACTGTGCCATTATCCATTACAGCACCTGGTATTCCCGAGTGGCACCCATCTAGGTACAGACCAGGCTCAGCATTGCTTAACTTCGATGATCATACAGGAACCTGTGGCCATAAACTGTTTCTCAACAGGAGGGTCCCTGGAATCCTAGGGTTTTACAAGATGTCACTAGGGGTTCCACGAGATAAATATTTATGTTTCATTTTATATTTGTAATTTTATTATCAACATACGGCATACTGTTGGAAAATCCTTGGTTATTACAATAAAGGCTTCAACTTGTTATATTATTTAAAATTATAATAATCATAGGGAATGTATTTAGCCATTGTCTACATGACATATCTGTGTGAAACCGCCTTCATTGATTTTGTTGGCAGGACATGTACGTGGCATATTTGCGCTTCATTGAGTGACTCATTTGAGTCACTCAATGTTCATATATTATGTTTACCATGTGAACTATGATAAAACTATAAAAGAGAGATATGGTATATAATAATTCCTATGCAGGGGCTTCCTGAGACATGAAATTATTTCAAGAGTAGCACAAACGTAAAAGGTTGAGAAATGCAGCTGTAAAGGGCTCACCAGTCTCACCATGCTGCATTTTCAGTAGTACATAGGTTTTCTGCTCAATTATTTTGAATTCAGTTGTCCTACACCTTGACAGGTTGCCAGTAAAGGCTAGAGAGCCCAGTTTGCACTGCTATTTAACTCATCTCTTCTAAGAGTATTTGTGCAAATGTGAACACAATGGCCTTGGCTGGAATTTGAACTCGGCATACCAACCTCACGTTTTGTACTGATAACTGTTTACACTACACACATTCATCTGCTCTACCATAAGATATTTGTACATTTAAGCAGGCTTTTATCACATGTGGCTGAGTGGTTAGACTGTTCACTTTCTGAATATGAGATCCAGGCTTGATTGTCACACTGGCCGATCAGGAAAATGATTTCTTGATGTTATCGTCCTGGGGAGGTGATTCCAACATGTGACATCTCGTGAGTGAAATCGAGTAGATGTAATTATTCATTGATCGGTGTGCTAGCATGAAGTTGCAAGTCATCGTGACTGAGGGTTTGAGTTTACTGGCCTTGTTCAATCTGTTGATCGTGCCATATGATACACTCTCTCCCAGATCTGCTCAGTATTTTTTGTAATATAAATCATAGCTGAGATCTGTGGGTATTCAAGAGACACAAATGTGCCTGAACAGGTATCTGTAACAGGGATTGGCTAGCCACCCTAACAGACAGGGATAATCAAATATCGTGTGTGTGGGGGGTCAGGATTTATCACGTATGGGTAAGGGAAGCTGACAGGTAACAGACACTTACTATCAGTACCATGATCATTTGTGTATAAATTGATAGTATTTTTTTTTTATCATCCTGTGACCTATAGGGATGTAGGAGCAGCACGTATACTGCATCTGCAGTAGAAGTGGTGTTTCTTAGGCAAGATGGCCTAACGAAGCCCAACTCTCTCCAGGTTGGTTTTGAATTCAGTGTTTTTCCTTCTCCTAGAATGGTTACCACACAAGGCTGTAGAACCCAGTCTATTCTGCTATTTATCCATAGCAGGGGGGAAAAGATGAGGATTCATACTTTTCCCAATGTAAGTGAATGTCATGGAATTAGAACATGGCTCTCCGATTTCTAAATTGGAGCTGTTATCCATTACTCCACCATGCCTCCAAATAGGGAGTATAAAAAGCAGTTAAAAAGGGCAGATAATTTCTAGAGAGAAAAGCTTATTTTCATGTATAAAATGCACCAGATTTTAAAGGAAAGAACATGCCTAAAGCTTGTGAAAAAAAAAGGAAAGAAAAAAATAAATAAAAAGAGCATTTTGTTTATTTTTCTGATTTATAAGCATTATGAACATTATTCAGACTATTGTCCTCATCTTTGTTGCCATATTTATTACAACGTTTCGGCCGCTGTACGCTCCGGCCTTCTTCAGGTTGTTGGAATGTCGAACTGAACCTTTTATTTCGCTTGCTGGGGTAGACTGTCTAATGGATGCCAGTTATCAGTTATCTCCTGTTAATTCCCCTCTCCAAGTTCTCCACTGCCTTAACTGGGTATTGAACTCACACTCTTTGGGTCCCGTCACTGGATCTAACTAACGCCTTTATCCACAGTGCCATGTGTCCTTGAGGAGATAACTGATATCCATTAAACATGGCACGTGGAACTTGAACAGTCTACCCCAGTGAGTGAAAATAAAGGGTTCGGTTCGACATTCCAACCACCTGAAGAAGGCTGGCGCTTACAACAGCCGAAACATTGTAATAAATATGGCGACAAAGAGGAGGACAATAGTCTGAATAATGTAAATAATGTACATAATACCTCATCTCAGAAATATAGACAGATACTGAAGCATTATGAAAATGTGATAATGACTCATGGAGCATAAGACCACTAAATCGTCCATGAACATTGTGAAAATAAATTGAAATAATTTTTTTTTGTTTATACTATATTGAGGTTTATCCTGTAACAGGCCCAGGGGCCACTCAAGGTAGAGAGTAAGAGACACAGTTTAAGTGGGGAAGATAACGGTTAAACTTAGACTTGAATAGGTTAAGATTGTAGTGATCAGATGAAACATCTTTGGAGTTGGTTCCACAGAGCAGTGATTTGCGGGAGGAAGCTGTTTGAGTGGAACTTACTTCTCATCAATGAAATATGGATGGACTGTGAGTGCAGTAAACAAATAAATCCAATTTAATCTGATTTTGTCTGTTTTGAGACTGGGAAAAAGGGGTGTGAGTTCTAAACTCAAGATGCAGCAGACATTTTGGACACGATTTTGGATGAAAAAAACCTGCATTTTATATACACAGAATTACAGTAAATATATATTTGATTATGATATTAGTTTGTTCTTTCTTTTTTTTTTTTTAACCAAACCTATATGGCTGGCCATTAAAAAATTAAAATTACTGGTTTCAATTTTTAAATATTTTTAAAAACTTGACGTTTGCCATCCATGCACTACAGAACAGCAAGCAAACCTCGGACAGACTCACTGAAATTGAGCAAATACCCTTAAAAGTAACTCCTTTTCTTTACATTTAAAAAAAAAAAAAAAAAAAAATGAAATAAAAAAAGAAGAAGAGTAACAACTTACAGATTCAAAATTATTAAGTAGCGTATGTGCCCTTTCAAATACGGGTCCTAGTCTTGTGGGGGCCGTTGGCTGCTTGTTGCACCAGAGTTTCATTTCATTATTATAACAAGAATTGAACTTTCCAATCTCTTCTTTAAGCTCCAACAGGGATTCTTCCAGATGTTGGCAAAGTAATTCAAGTTGCTCCTTATCAACTCTCTGAAACTCAAACTAAAATAAAAAAAAAAAATAAATTATTGGCAAAACATGTAGCTTCATGTGTACAAAGAAAAAAAGAAAAGAAAAAGAAACGGCAAACAGACATTCATGCTCATAAGAAAATATATACATATTATTGTATCCTTAAAGAAGGTTACAAACAGACAAAGGTGGTAGTCGAGTGAAAGGAACAGCAACACATGAAAGAAAGAGAGGTTTATTGTAAAAGAGAATACACTACTGAAAGACAGGGAATCGGTTAACAGATTAGCAAGTTCCGCAGCAAGTCGCCAGGTATATCCTGTGCTCACTATATATATATATATCTACCAATATAGTCATTCCACGTCGGAAAAACGACATCTTTTGAGGCTAACCATGAGTTGACTCATTTTTTGACATCTTCATAAGAATGAAAGTGCTGCTCAGCCAGAACAAGTTATAATCAGATGGAGCAATATCTGGTCAGTAAACAGGTGGGGTAGGAGTTGCCATTTAAGCGATTCCAAGTAGGTTTTCATCAGTTTTGTAACATGTGGTCTGGCGTTGTCATGTTGCAAAATCACTTTGTCGTGTCTCTGCTCGTATAATGGCCATTTTTTTCTTCAATACTCGGCTCAAACACATCAATTGTAGTCAATAGCGATCTCCCGTGATGTTTTCGATCAGTTTGAGCAGCTAATACACTACATCCAGCTGATCCCACCAAATGCAGAGCAGAAGTTTTGAACCATGGATATTCAGCTTTGCCGCTGATGTTGATGCATAACCGGGCTTACCCCATGATCTTCTATGCTTAGGGAAATCATTGTGTATCCACTTTTCATTGTCGGTCACAATATGATGCTAAAACCTTTCCTTTTCTGCCATTGAAGCAGCTATTCACACATGATGCCAATCAATGTCTCTCGGCTTCAACTCATATGGCACCCAATGTCCTTGCATTTGAATCATTCCTAATGCTTTCAAATGTTTCAAAACTGTTATGTGATCAACTCCTAATGATTCTGCAAGTTCAGCTTTTGCCTGACATGAAGTAATGCCTCCAATTTATTGTCTTCAAACTTTTTCTGTGCATCAGTGTGTTATCTCCAACATCAAAATCATTATTTTTGAAGTGTCTAAACCAATCTCTGCATGTTGTTTCTGACAGAGCATGGTCGCCTTAAGTCTCAACAAGAATTCTGTGTGCTTCAGCTGCAAATTTCTTTTGAATGAAAGAGTGCAGTAAAATTCCCCACAAATACACTTTCTTTGGCACAAAATCCAATATGTTTAAGACTATGAAAAACAAAGTTGTTTACACTTCAGTGAAATGACATACACTGAATTTCAAGTTTGTTTATAGTACTTCCTTATAGATACATTACCATCTGAAACTATACGCACATAGTTCTGGGAATGCTGTCTGTTGGAAAACAGTGAGAACTTATTCAAGGTCCTAATAAATAGAATTGCAGTGTTCCACATTCCAATTTATTGTTTTTTTTTTAAAGGTTCACAAAATATGATATCTAAACTAAAACTTGAATGCTTAAATAAAACTGTTTTAAAAAATTCTTTTCTATTCAGTAAGTGTATTTATTTTTAAATTAAAAAAAATTTTAAGGATGGTTATATCCATACAATGTATTTTAGAAAAGTTCAAATCAAAATTTGAACTTTGAAGAGGAAACAACTAAACAATTACAATCAATCAATATAAAAACAAAAAATGTTTTAAATGTGTGAGAATGTTTTATGTTCAATTTAAATTGTTCAATCCAATATTAATTTTAGTGGGGAAGCCCAAAGGAAAAAAAAATTGCTAAAAAACATTCTTTAGAAACAAAAATTAAATTGACATCCAATTAACTTTTAATGATTATCAAAACATTATCTTGACTGGAATGAAACAAGTTATTATGGGCAGCTTGAAAAAGAGAATGGTGGAATTTTAATTTAGTGAATAATTGTAACCACTATTCAGTAGAACTAAACTTGAACAAGTTTTAAAGAAACAAATCCAATGGAGTTAAGATATAATGAAAATTTAACTTTTTCAAGTGAAAAAGATTTAATAATTAAAATGTGGTATTTAAACATTCAATTTTACTGATAAAGAAAAAAATTATGTAAAAGACTGCAGTCCATCCACATTACAACTACAATTTATATAACAGTTTGTAAAAATTGAATAGAAAGAAGTTAAAAACTTTTAGTTTTTTTCCCTACCAATCAAAATTTAAATTGGAGATAAAAAACAATATACTGAAACCTAATTTATAAAAGATAAAGAATCATATTTGAGGTTTTTAAATATCGATGGGTGCTGAAAGGTTTTTCATTAACTAAGAGATTCAAACAAAAGTCTAAATTTGTTAAAGTTTGGGATCTAGACATGAAAAACTTTTCAGTATTCCTTCATATTAACAGCTTGAGAAAGTTTTTTTTGTGGGATGAGAGAGAGAGAGATCAAAATGTTACAGGACAAACTACTTTTTAAAAAAAGGTTCAATTTTTTAAAATATTGAACATGTTAATCTCATGGTCAAGATATTCAAATATTTTTATTGGTCATACTTGCCATTTTAATAATAAATTTTTATTTTAACCCAAACATTTATTCTAATTCCACAAGAAATCAAAAAATGAATACATTATTTATTTCACTAATGAATTAACATTTTTATCAATAATTTGTATAGTAACATGCAAACAGCTTACATAGAAACATTTTCTTTTACTGCAAGAAATACAGATAATGAATAAATTTCTTTCCTCCATTCAACCTTTAAGTTAGACATGATAGGATATATTTGAAAAAAAAATGCAAAGTGAATTTAAATTTAAAAAATTCAATTTGTTAATTATATTTATTTGACCAAAATCCACGCCTTTTTTGTTATTTGAAATAATAAAATTCATCACAAGGTTTGTCTGAATATTTTAAAATGAATAAGGCATCAAATGTTCAAGTATCCATTTAAAGATTTAGATGAACTATTGGAAATTTTGATTAAAGACAACATTATCCATAAACTTAATGTTTATATACAATATCATATTTGAATGGTTAAAATTTTTAAAACTGAATTTTTAGAACTTTTGAAAAAATATAAGGTTAAAAAAACCTTTTGAATATTCTGCTTTTGTCATTTTTAAAGCAAGATTTTTTTTTTGTCAGTACCCAAAATAGGGAAACTCATTTTTCAAATTATATCTTCAATGTTTTCAGTGAGGAAAATTTTTGAATGGCTGCTATATTACCTCAAGACTAATCCCAAAATTTTACTTAGTTTTTAGGCATTTAACATAAATTAAAAAGAGAGGTATTTTAATATTTACTTTTACTTTTGAAAATGATTTAGTGAAACAATATTTACTAAAATGATTTGTACATTATATAACAATGTTATTCTAATAATTCACTTTGTTAATGACATTTTAGTGAAAGTAAAAGTAAAAATTCAATATATACAATCATATATATATACTTTTAATGTTTATACATTCTTTTAAGTAAAATAAAATAATTTAAAAAAAAAATCTGGAGCATAATAAAAGCCAGAATATTTCCTGAATGCAGAAACAAGAAAATATTTAAGAAGATAATGCAATAATAAACCAAAATTGCTTTTGTTCCCTAATGAAATGTTTTTTTATTGTATATTAGGAAACATAAAAAATTTTTAATCAATAATCAGTTGTTGTTGTGTTTGAAAATGTAAACAAATGATGTCACACTTTGGGAAATGGACAAAACTGCAGTTATTTTAATTCATTTTTGTTATACATTCTTTTTTCTTAATCTATTTTATATTTTGAGTTAATTTCAAAAATTTCATTAAAATAAAATAAAAATAAAAAATCAAGATAAAGTAAAGAGAAAAAAATAATTGACATAAGGATTTAATTTTATGAAAAAAAAAAAATAAATCAAAAGATGATTATGTCTACTCAAATTATTCTTGCTTAGTGATGGTTAAAAAGTTTAATAAGATATGAATCAGATGTAAAAAATTGGTTAAATTGAAAAAAAGGTAAACTTTTACAAACGGAAATATTTAAAATTAATAAATCAATAAAGTCAAGAAAATAAATTCAGATGTTCGCTGTTGAAGCTAGAAAGCAATGCTAAAAAAGTTGTTAGCAGCAAGACAAAATAAAAAAAAGGGTCTGCAATTAAAACAAGATAAATAAAAAATAACTTGGTGATGCAATTTTTCAGTATTAAGGCCCATAGGTTGGTATTCAGATAAAACTAAAAGATGTACAAAGAAAATGGAATTCATTATGAAAGTGAAATGCCAAAAAATTTACTTCAGTTTAAAAAACTAAAAATCCTAAAAGAAAAGCACTAATCAGCTATTATTAATCTATGTAAAATGAAGAAGTTTGGCTCAAATAACAAAGAAAAGGTTGTAAGATGGTTTATATTGATGTCTAGTTAACTAAAAAAAAAAAAAAAATCATTAGCAATGCATTTCATTGCAAAAGCATGTTTTAAAAATGCAATTAACAAATGAGGAACTAAAACATTCCTTTATATGTGCAACAAGAATAAAAAATATAATTTGCTTCTCATCTTTAGTTTAATTGACTTAAAAGGATGAATGGTTATATCAATCAGCCTAAAAGATTGACATTTAAACTTAAAAAATAAAAAAAATTATATTGAAAAAAAAAAAAAAAAAAAAAGTAACCAATCAACTAATTTCAATACAAACATTTCAGAGTGTTTGGGTGTCAATCTGAGGACAGTGCAGAGGATTCAGAAAGAGTTGGATGAGTCTAATGGTGATTACAAAGGTGTTGGCAGCTTCAGAAAATCACTTCTGATCATTCTGATAAGAAAAGAACTCCATGAATTTGTTGGTGAGGGCCTCAGACTCAACATGGAGGCCTACATCAAGTGCCTTGAGGAGGTAGTGCTGCCCTGGGTCAAGAGGGTGGCTGCTGGAAGACCCTATGTTTGGCAAAATGACTCTGCACCATGCCACACAAGCAGGAGAACCCAGTCATGGCTGTCA